TGTAAGAGAGCTGGATGGGTGCATAGGTAGGTAGGTGAATAGGTGGGTGTGCAGATAGGTAGATAAATGGATGGAGGTGTGGGTAGGTAGGTCGGCAGGTAAGTCGGTCGGTCGGTAGATAAGTGGATGGATGGATGGATGGATGGATGTGTGGGTAGGTAGGTCGGTAGGTAGGTAGGTCGGTAGATAAGTAGATGGATGGATAGATGGATGGATAGGTAAGTCGATGGGTGATGGGTGCGTGGATTGGTATACTGGTAGGTGAATGGATGGAAGAATACGTGGGCAGGTAGGCAGATGGGCGGGTAGCTACATAGGTAGGTAGGTAGGTGGATGGATGGGTGCATAGGTAGGTAGGTGAATAGGTGGGTGTGTAGATAGGTAGATGAATGGATGGATGTGTGGGTAGGTAGGTCGGTAGGTAGGTCAGTCGGTCGGTAGATAAGTAGATGGATGGATGGATGGATGGATGGATGGATGTGTGGGTGGGTGGGTAAGTCGATGGATGGTGGGTGCATGGATTGGTATACAGGTAGGTGAATGGCTGGAAAGATAGGTAGGCAGGTAGGCAGATGGGTGGGTAGGTACATAGGCAGGTAGGTAGGTAGGTAGGTAGGTAGGTAGGTGGATGGATAGATGGGTTTGTAGGTAGGTAGGTGGGTGGATGGGTAGGTAAGTAGATAGGTAGATGGACGGGTGGGTGGGTAGGTAGGTAGGTGGATAGCTGGATGGGTGCAGAGGTAGGCAGGTAGGTGGATGGGTTCATAGGTAGGTAGGTGAATAGGTGGGTGTGTAGATAGGTAGATGGATGGATGGGTGGGTAGGTAGGTAGGTGGATGGATGGGTAGGTAGGTGGGTGACTCGATGGATGTGTGGGTAGGTGGCTAGGTAGGTGTGCGGCCGGCTGGGCAGGTAGGTGCGTGCCGGTCTGAATTCCCGCGAGGTTTCAGAGGCGCCGGCCACCGGGCCCGTAGCCAGGGGCCCCCGCGGGCGCCCACCGCGAAGCCCCGCACGGAGCCAAGAGCCGGGACGACGCGGGCCCTGCCAGGGGGCCCGAGGAAAGGCCGGGCCGG